AATTCAAACAGTAATATTACTGATGAACATGCCAGAAACACTTTGTGGAAACAAGTTTCCCAAAGCTAAAAACTGAATAATATATCTTGGTAAGAAATTAAGTGTATCAAAACATTGGGGAAAAATATTTAGGGCAACTGAGCACATCCCAGTGTTATTTCCCCCCCTGAAATCTGTTTTTGACGTTTGCCGTGAAATTTGAAGAAGATGAGATACTCCCACAGGAAATTTTGGCTGGCAACAATTTATGCCATCATCATGAATTTAGCATTCTATAGCTGTTGGTTGTGAGACACTTGTTCTAAGTGCAGGCTTTCCTTAGTGTGTAGGTGCTGACAGTGGACCAAGTTTGCTGGAAGACAGTGTGTTCCTCCATTCCTAAAATAGAAATCTGAGGTTGGGTTTCAGTTTTAATAAATAAATATGCTGAACAGCTTGAGTCCTCATTGTGCTACAGGTTTGTGGTAGATGTTGGCCCTGTGCCACAGGTGTGAAATAGATGACACAGAGCGTTGCTCTCTGTTAATAGCGTGGGCGTATGTCCTGAAATAGGTAGCGAGTGTTCTGGTGATCAGCTTAAAATAATGTTGAAAGAGCTAATGTGATGAAGGACAGAGTTGCTATAGCTAAGCATTTTTGTTTTATTACAGTAATATAAAGTAACAGTGTAACAGGTGAAATGAGCTGAAAATCTGTGACAACAGCTTCGTGCTAAAATTTTTTGTTGTAATCTTGATATTCCTGTTTGTTTTTCTGAAACCTCAAATACATACAAATTAAACATTGTCCTAAAAAAACCCCCAACTTAATAATGCTCCTGTAGATTTAATAATGCTCCTGTTATCTACTTCAGTTTTAAAACAAAATAATTTCCCTCCAATTTCTCTGGGAGGCCTTCTCATAAAGGTACAAAATAAATTATCTGTTCAGAGAGACCTTGTTGAATCTGTTCTCTTTCTTGTCCCATACACAGAAGGTACAGCACAATCATGTTCCAAGTAATATAGGTTGCTGACATTAAATTCTTACGTGTTGGCAAAATTCCCTGTCTGGCAGTCCCTAGTGTGAAATTTTATGATGCTTTGACCGTGTGTTGACTGAATACTTCAGAGTGTATACTTTCAAAATTGCCTGTGTTCTTCAGAACCTGTTTATTTTCCATACAGTGGCTTTTAGAGATCTGTTCCAGAAACCTCCTTCTGCTCCTATTCCTCTCTATACCCATGCTTTTTAATCTCCAAATACATATCCATGGCTTGCCCGCTGTTCATTTCTTCTTCCTTTATTATCTTAATTTTAGGTCTCTCATTTCAGTTACTTGTAGACAAGCACTCGTGAAGCAGTAGACCGCTGATAGTTAAAGTATCCTTCATATGAAGATACTGTTAAAAATTTTTGAAATAATTTCTGCCTATTGATTTAAATCTGAATCCTGGAACTTCAGCACACCGAATAAACAGACTATTGTTTTTATGAGACTAGGAGAGGATTAAGGATTTTAATCATTCCTTTCTAAAATTATTACTTCCAATTCCAGTTATTATAGGCTTTTTCTAATTTTGTAGTACAGAATAATAATATTGGTTAAACCTAGAACAATTGTTGAGATACTATATAAAATAAGATTGAATGATAGTGATGTAGAATTGAGATGAAGTATCTTCCCAGTGAGGCTGTATGTGATTGATGTAATACGTTCTTTTTCTTCCCGTACCCTCACTCTAAAGCCAATTTAATGACGTGTTATAGTAGTTACTTGTTACTACTCAGTAATGACTAATTTCTGACTCGGGTTTAATCTGTTTCCAGCTCTGTGAAGAACTGTTTGAGAAAATCAATGACAACAGCAATGAAGAAATGTCATATTCTGTAGAGGTGAGTGTGGTGAGACACCAAAGAATATCTGTGTGCTGGACATCAAACTGAGCTTAGGTGCTGCATTATTGATGCTGCATTAAGATGCTGATAAAATAAAAGCAGGTGCTTCGCAGAAACAGTATTTTCTTTCTCTTACTGTTTTTTTCCCCCAATCAGTTTTAATGGCTTGACATGCAAATACATTGCAGGCTTTGAAAGAAAGGAAGACCAAAAAGCCAGTAGAAGTCACATGTGATTATTACTAATAAATGTGAACTCCAATCATTACTGCATCTAAATTAGAGAACTGGAAAATTACTAGTTCTGTGGCTTTTAATCTGTCCATTTTAATGCTTCATATAATTGTATTTTATTAACACTTGATGCCTTAATGCTTGAATGCCATAGGAGCATCACATTTAGGATTTTTGGATGAGAAGATTCCCACATTTTAATGATGTTTTTTCTATTTGGTACTTGTTTGTGGTTCTGATTATGTCTCCAAGCATAGGTTTGTGCATGTAAGAGAGCGAGAGAAATAGTCTCTCTTATAATGGAAATCCAAAAGAATGAGACAGCTAGACAGAAACTGTGATGTAAGCGTATAAATAGTGTGTTGTGATGTGTTTTGGATATAGAATTAATTTTTCTGAGTTGCGCTTATTTAGAGGTTGAAGATGTCTTTTTGTATTTCTAAAACTGCTGGTTGCATCTGTAATCTTTCCACAGAATGAAAGTGAATAACTTACTATCACTTTTAATGCTTAATATCTTGTCTGCTGGAGCTGCTAAGTACCTGTTGGACTGGGATAAGCCTAGTGCCATGAGACACATAAAAATAAAAGAGTGCATTTAAAAATATACTTGACTTCATAGTTTATTTCAAAGGGTGCAGATTTAAGATTACCGTAGTTTGAATAATTGTACTGATGACTCGGGAATACAGCAGGACGTGGGTACAGCTTAGAATCAAAAGTTACTTCTGCATACAAAGAAATTAATTTTTTCCCTTCTTAAGTTTGCTTTGGAGGTTCATAAGAAAGATTCCTTGTAGGCAGACTCCTTTTACCATCTGTCTTGTTTGCCTCTTCAGAAAGATAGTTTTGCTGCTGTGTCATATTAAAGCTGTTAAAATGATTGTGAACTCAAGTGTATAATTTTTAATTAAACACCAATGTTTTTTGAAATGGTTGAGGGATCTATATATGGATGCAAGGCCTGCAGCTTATGTTGGAGATCTGATGCGTGAGACTAGTGACTCTTCTTCCCTCTGCCATTGTCTCAAGCTGTTATATGAACTGAGACACCCACCTATAGCTTTCCTGCGGTGGACTGAGGGAGTTTCTACTGGTGGCACTCTGAAATGCTGCAGAGCTGCTTGCAGAGGAAACCTTAAGAAACACTAAATTGTCCATGCAAATTCCTGTTTTCAGGTGAGTTACATGGAGATTTACTGTGAGAGAGTCAGAGACTTGTTGAACCCGAAGAACAAAGGGAATTTGCGAGTGCGAGAACATCCTCTGCTTGGACCATATGTGGAAGATCTGTCCAAGTTAGCAGTCACGTCTTATACAGACATTGCAGACCTCATGGATGCTGGGAACAAAGCCAGGTTAGTGATAGTAGAGTGTTACATATTTTTATTTCTGTTGTGGGGATATATGGCATACAGCAGCAAATTTAAAATATCTTCTCGTGTCACGTGAGGAGTATTGGTGAAATATGCACTGATCAATGCTATTAAAAGGCTGAAATGGATTTGTGTGGTGAAATAGTGCTGCAAATCGCTGTATAGATAGTTGAAGCTTGTAATGGCTTGAGATGAAGTATGTAAATAATTATACTGGCTTTTAGTTCTGCCTTCATTGTGTACTGTATCGCTATATTGGTATAAATAAACATGTAAACACAGTCTCCTCTTTCATTCATTCAAGTGGTCAGGACTAAAGTTGGCATTCTAGCTTTAGATTCTGGTTCATTAGTAGTTGTTTTCATGTCAGCTGTAGGCTCCATTTAACAACATGTGGGAAAGACTGACATAAAGGCCGCTCGCGTTTTCTTGTGTGTTTGAGTGTAAGGTAGATTATTGAGTACACAGATTGAGGAAGCTCAGTTTAAACTGTGATGAAGATGGGAGTAATTCAGGAGTGAAAAATGAAAGGGTTTGTTAATGGTATTCGGTGTGGCTTGGTCTTGGTTACAGGGCAGAACGTGAACTCTTGGTCTCATTCCTCTACAGCTGCATTCAGCCCTGCAGGTAGTTGTACCTGCAGCACAGAGGCTACTGTTTTCTAAACATGTCTATATCTGTTCATTCTTTAGGACTGTGGCAGCTACCAACATGAACGAAACCAGCAGCCGCTCTCATGCTGTGTTTACAATAGTCTTTACTCAGAAGAAACACGACACAGAAACTGATCTTTCCACAGAGAAGGTATGTTACAGATAAGAAGTGGCTTTCTGACTGTTTTTCACAAATCTTCCCTGCAGTGACTTATTCTTATTGGCAGTATGGTGAGAAAATGAGAATTAATTGTTTTTTCTGGTGTTTTGTTTAAGGGTAAACTTGCTGTGTGCCTTGACAGAGCGCTTTTATTTCTTATGGGATTTTGTTTGATTGTATTTCTACATATTTCTAAATTGTATTTCTAAAAACAACTAAATGGGGAACATGTGCAGGAGGAGACTATATAGATGTGGGAAAAATATGGCCTTGAGGGCTAGGTTCTATGGGGAGCGATATGTGAAATAAAAGAAGTTAATCTTCCCCAGTCTTGTTCCCAGGACTTTCTGTGGTTTTGCTTGTCAGTGCGAAATATTTGCCTCGTTAGTTCTTTTCTTTGGGCACAGGAATTGGGATGAGTGAGACTTAGGCACTTTCTGGAATTTGCATGTTAAAAGGAGGTACACTGTTTAGCATGGAACAGTTTTCTGGCTTTTATTACTCTGAAATAGAGGCTCTGCATGCAAAAGTAGCTGAAATACAGGTAATATTCACATTTATGAACTGACTACTGTGGACAGATCTGAAAAAAATTTATGTATTGAAGATGCCCCTCACCCCTCCAAATCATAAGACCCTATAAAATTATCATTAACTGACATGCAGTCTGTAGCTTTAGTTAGGCCAGTGCTTTATTGTTGGTGTCACTGGAGTCAGGATGAAACAACAAGTTTCTCTTCCTTTGAGATTCTTGTGTTGTCTGTAGCAGTAACTTAATTTCTTTTGACTTCTGTTCTGCTCTATTCATGTGAGACCTCATTCTCTTTTTTTAGGTAATTTAGAGTATAGTGATACTTAGAGCATAATCCTAGACACTTCTTATCCATAAGATAACAGCATCAAGCTAATTGCTTGTGAAAACTTTGACTGTAGTTTTAAGCACACTACAGTGATTTTTTTTTTTTAGACATTAGAGTTCTCATGCCATAGAATTCTTTGAAGTTTTGTTCTTACTCTAGTTCACCAAGAACTAATTCTCGTTGTTAATGTGCTTTCTTCTGTTTTCAGGTCAGCAAGATTAGCCTTGTGGATCTAGCTGGGAGTGAGCGAGCTGATTCAACTGGTGCCAAAGGAACCCGATTAAAGGTATTGGGCCATTGATGTATGGGGAAAGAAAGAGAAGTGGGTGCACAAGCACCATGTGGAGTCTTTGCTTGACAAATAATGAGGAAAAGAAAGGATTGCTATTATAACTACGGAAAAAATAGTTGCAAAACTGAAGACTTCCCCTCGCCCCCAGCCCCGATCATGGATGTGACATTTGGCTCATTTAGTCTACAGAGGTTCATGGTTGAACAATTTTAATTACTATATAATACTGGATTCTGTTTTCTCAGGAAGGAGCAAATATAAACAAGTCTCTCACAACTCTGGGCAAAGTTATTTCAGCATTGGCCGAAGTGGTAAGTACCGCATTTGCTTACCTGCAACAACCTTTCCATAGCTAGTAAAACTGAGACAGTAAAAACCATGGAGTACAGCAGAATTCACTGTTCTTGGCCTAGCATTCTCAGCCAAATGAGCTGTGTGTATTTTGATAGATGAGTAGTGTTGATAGTATTCTGTGAATGTCATGCAGGCTGGTAGAAACTTTATTTGTTGATAGATTGAAGCATTGGTTTATTTAGCTGTGAAGAACCCTTGCAAAAGAAGCCTGCGTTTGTCTAGAAGACATGTTCACATAGCAAGCTTTTAGTTCTGCAGAGCAGTAATTTTATTTTTATTTGAAAGAATAATTTTAGAGAACTAACTGCAGCTTTGTTGTTAAAAAATTTTAGAAATACCAGCATAGTAATTTGATTATCACTGGCTTCTTTTGCTATGGCAAGACTTAATAATGTGTTAAGTGAGTATATGTTGATCCAAACGTAATGTTGTAGGTTTAGAAAAGTACTTTGTCTTTTACTTTTAGACTCAACTAATATTTTAAAAAAAACAACAAGTAAATTACTGCTGTTCCTTTTAAAAGTTCTCAACAGCTTGGGCAGGTTGAATATACTTAAGTGCTTTTCAGATTTTTGTTTAATGAAAACTATTCTCATTCACTGGGCTTCTCAAGAAAAGAATATGCTATCCAAGATAACATGGAAATTACATATAAAGCTCTGTTAAGAAGCTCATCTTGTATCTTCTTCCTCTTTCTTTAATGCTTTCAACTTAGGATAACTGCACCAACAAGGTATGATGGTCTGAGTAGTAGTGGATGTTGTCTTTTTTGCCTGAGTGTAAGATTTTACTCTCTTCACTTTGGAATCAAAGAGCAGGGATCTTCTATGCCAGGTCTTTGAGAAATTCCTGTGACTATAAATTATAGTCATGAAGCCTGAGAATTATCAGTACTAAAATTTCAAAATGTTCTAAGGTTGGGGATAAGTTAATGAAAAGTTCACATTTAAGTACGTATTTAGGAATATTCTTTTATTACATCCCTGCTCCTGATTTAGTGACTTACCTTGGGAATATTTACTTTTAGTAGGGGTAACTTTGCTTTCATGCTTCTACTCTCCATGCTTTTTTCTTTACCCCATATGATGGATTGTAGGTGATAGTCAATTCTAGTCTTCAGCTTTAGCATCTGGTGCTTACCTGCTCTTAGTAATTTTACTTGTCCTTTGTAAGGTTACTCACCTTTGGCAAGGGACAATAGAACTATTGCAAGACTAACACATTTTAAGCACCTCTTGAGTGTTAAGAGGAGTTTCACACAAACTATAATCAAGCCTTTTATTGCAAAGCCATATCCTGTGTTAAATGTTGTGTGGAATTAAACTTTTGGCATCTCTTAAAGCAGGATGTTTGCCTACTAATGATTTGTGTAAGTAAATGGATGACCCAAGATTCACATTCTGCTATAGAGCTTTTGAAGTTAAGCCTTGTTTCTTTTAGACCAAATAAAGAAGCTAGGGAAAGCCTTTACAATGAAATTTGGAGGGAAGTCTGCCAAAGGTACTGAGAAGACCCTCTTCTCTTGTGCAGAAGTTCTACATTTATCGCTACTGATTTTGGGACAGAGTATTTAGATACTTGGGCACCCGTCTTGTGACCTTATGCTTTGGTTTGAGTAGTGTCTATTAAGTTTTGTTGTCTTTAAAAAAACAAACAAACAAACAAAAAAAAACCCCAACCAAAATAAAAACATACAACCCCCCCCTAAAACTACCTCCTTTCTACTCATACTTCTAATTTCAGTGCCCAAGTACTTTCATCTTTTCTGTCCTCAAGTTTCCTAATAACTGCTTACAGAAACACAGGAAGATTGGCTAGTTGTCCTTTCACATGTGCACCTGTGTCTCTGTAGCTGTGGAATCTCCTGTAAATGGATTTTTGACTGCTCTAAAAAGCTGTAACTTTTCTAGCAAAGGAAAATTGAATCTTCCCCTGAACGACTAAGGTTTACTGCTTAAATTCTCTTGGAATGGTGTTAGAACACAGAATTTAAATGTCAGAAAAGATATTCTTCATACACAGAAAAATCTTTCTGAAGGTAGTGCTTCAAGGGAATTCTCTGGACTATTTATCTTCTGTTTAGATGTCTGAATATGTTGCATGTTATCTAATATCAAACTCGGTAATCACTTGTACAACTGAGGATGAGCCACCCTTCTGTTTAGATAGCATATGTGTATGCTGTCATGGTTCTTTTAATACCTATAGTATGATTTTTATGTCTTAAACATGAATTTTCCATTCGATGTCTATTTTTCAGTAGTGTGTTCTTTTTTTGTAGAGTAAAAAAAAGAAGAAGACAGACTTTATACCATACAGGGATTCTGTACTTACATGGCTTCTTCGAGAAAATCTAGGTATGGCTGGTTTGCCTGTGCCAATATGGAAAGAGATTCTCACTAAATTTTCTGACTGCTTTTAACTCGCTTAACTTAAATTTGTGTCAAGTATAAGGTTAAATATTTTTAGTAGTCAAATCTGAGTCACATAGTTCCACCCTTTGTTAAAGTTACAGCTCTCTTTCCTATGATTTTTGTATGTTCCTTAGTAATGTAGAATATAATTGAATTCTATAATTTATTGAAAATACTGATATTTAGTAGGTAATTAGTGCCTAGGCTGTGCACTGTAGTTTCATCTAAAATCTTGCCTGTTCCCTGTTCATTATAGGCGGTAACTCCAGAACTGCGATGGTTGCTGCTTTGAGTCCGGCAGACATAAACTACGATGAAACTTTGAGCACTTTAAGGTACTTTTTTCTTATCTGAGATGGATATGGGTAGCTGTTAGCTGTAATGACCACATTCTATCCTTCTAACCTTCAGGTGGTTATACTTTGAGAAAATCTGTGGGGAGTAAGACTCTATACTGGCAAGAACTCAGTTACCCTGAACGAGGAAAACCAATCGATTGTATGTGAATAGGGAGCTAGGGATTTATTGCCTACTCTTAACTTGAAAAATCAAACTCATCTTCTCGTGTTTGTATGTTCTTTTCCAGTGTGGTCCCTAAAATTGAGCATATTAGTCAAGCTGAGGTTTCAAAGCACTGAATAAAGAAAAAAGAGAAAAATGTCTGTTGTACATATGGTGCACCTTGTTAATCCATCTTGAATAGGACTTGTCTTTTTTGCAGCAATACCCTGTATTAAGTAAGAATTCAAAAGCATTGATTGAATATAATCTAGGATTCTCTTCTGACATACAGCTGCAAGCTAAATGTCTCTTATATTGCTGCATTCCTGTGTTGCAAATAAGCACTTATATGTTCGTTATAAGGTTTTATTCTTTTGGTCTGGTTCCAGATATGCTGATCGTGCAAAACAGATTAAATGCAATGCTGTTATCAATGAAGATCCCAATGCCAAGCTGGTGCGTGAGCTGAAGGAGGAGGTGACAAGGCTTAAGGATCTCCTGCGTGCCCAAGGGCTGGGAGATATTATTGACAGTAAGTGGGTTAAATGGACCTTACCATCTTGAGGTTGGTCTCTCTTACGGAGGAGGGAGAGCCAGGCCTGCGAGAGAAAGGGGTTTAAAACATGGAAGTTAAATGCAGGTGCTGATATTACATTTTGAACATGGTTTTAGAAATGGTAGCCTCTTCTGTCTTCAAACAACCCATCCTAGGATCAACATCCTACAGTTGACAGGCCACCTTCAAACTCTCAAGGAAAAACATTGGAGATTGAGTTTCCTATTACTGTAGAAATGATTTTTTGTAATAGAACTTACACATTCAAGAGTTGCCCTGGTGAGTTATGGAGGGCTTTTTGTCTGGCTGCCAATAAAAGGAGGATAGTTGAGATACAGAAACTTAATTTCATACTGAGAAAGAAAGCATCTTTTCTTCCTCCTTAAAGGGTTAAGGTTTTTAGTTGATGCCTGGCTTCAATGCCATCCTTGCTCAGGAAAGAAAATGGTGGCTAATTCCTGTTAGACAATGTCCTGAGTGACCAACCATTTGTCATCTCAAAATAACTCACTATGAAACAGCAGCTTGTGAATAAATAATGAATTCTTTTGGGGCGAGATCTTAAGTTAGGTTGGCAGAGCAGTATTGTACTGATTTTGCTTTGCCAGCAACCTCTTAAGGCACCACAATAAACTTGTACGTGAATTATTTCCTTGTCTTCATTCCAAGCAAGACAAATAAAGTAAAATTTTAGCTGCTACATTCTTTTATAATATGAACAGTGATTTAATGCCTAGTGAAGGAGATGCCCATAAAAACACAGAATGTATTCCAGTGGATTAAAAGATTCTTTGACTTACAAAAAAAAAAGTGAATGTTGCACCAGTTTCTGATTTGTCAGAGCTGTCTGCCTGTGAAACAGAAGTCCTCACTTAGTCACAGAATGCTTAAAGATGTGTAACATGTATTTACCGTTTTGTTTGCTTGTTTTCAAGATAAATGGGCCAGAAGACAATGAAATGCAGGTGTTTTCATGCTTGGTACAGTCTGGTTCTAAATCAAAACTGAAAAAACTATGTGTTACTGAAAATTGTGTTTTGTTTCTTTAAAGATCATATAGTATTCTCTTCCCTTCCTGTGTCACTGGTGAACCTTCAATTTTGATCCTTCTTGTATTTTCCCTCCTGCTTCCTTTCAGTTGATCCAATGGGAGATGAATACTCTGGAAGTGGAGGCAAATGTGTGTATTGTGTGGTTCTCTTTTTAACCTGCTTTCTCTGGGTCAGCTTTTAACTGAGCTTTGCATGCCAGCATTTCTCACAGGGAAATCCCAGACAGAACACTCACTGTGGAATGCAATGCAGTTTCATGAAAACTAGCTTAATCAGCATTTCTTAGATTAAGTTGACAGTCAAAAAAAAGTGCAAAGTTTAAAATGCAACGTATGTTCATTGCTTTCTTTCTGGCAGAATATAGAAGGGAGAGTGGTAATTCTTTTAGTCTGTTTTCATGACAGCCAACAGTTTAGATTCAAACTAGAAAATCTTTTTCTCAAATCTTTCCCAAGTTACTCAGTTGAAACAGCTTCTGCTCACGTAGCTTCCTGGCCTTTTAACATCTCTTTTCCACCTAGAAGTATTTGTTTTAAATGTGTCAATTGATTAACTCAAGGTGAAGCGTTATCAGTTCCTCCTGGAGATTGAGATTTATTTATTTTGTATAGTCTCTTAAAAAAAAAAAAGAAAAAGTTGGACATCTTATACTGATGAAGGTCTCTTACTTGAGCTCAAATGCTTGGTTGCAGATGATGAACTTAATAGGGTTAAAAACAGTCAGCAAATAGCATTTTATTTCTATTCTACTGTTTGCTTCTATGAAAGTGAAATATATGTAGTCCATTGCAAGAGAAATGTATTCTGTGTAAGTTTTGGGTTGGTAGACTTTTTAAACTCTTTCAGTCAGTTATCTTCACCCTCACTCAAACAATATCAACTGGAAGAGATCTGTCTGAAATTTCCTAAAATTAAAGCTACTGGTGGTGTAAAGACTCATCCTGGCCTTGTCTTATGTTCTGATGCTGCTTCCAGCGTGTGCATATGTCATCTGTGTGAAAGCTGCAGCCTCCAGGAGAAGCGTGCATGATGTTGAGGGGTTTGGTTCTCTGTGGTCACAGCAACTGTGAAAGCTATTGCAAGTGCCACTTTGTCTTCAGGAGTGCATGTGTCTATTGGCCTTTTGAGACTTCATCCTCCCTGCTCTGTCGTGCCTGCTTTCCTCATCCTGATGGCATTCCCTTTCCTTAACCTGCTTCTCTTCTGTTAAACTTCCACCCCTGCTTCCTGTATTTGCAGATGGTGGTTTTCAAACTGACTTGATCAGTTTCATGAGGCTGAAACAGCAGGTTGAATGTGGAGTGGACTAGGGCATAAGGCTGACAATAGCAGAATTGTTCAGGATAGGAGTAGAGGAGATGTAGGAGGACATGGCAATTTGTGCAATGTCTGGGTGAGCGTCTCATTTTTCTAAGTGTGAAGCCCTTGTTTATAACTTGCAAGGTCTGATTTGACCTGTTTCTTTCCTAAGGATACTTATTTTAAAGGATTTGTTTTTGAAATAGAATTTAAACCTATCAAAATTATTAAAACTGAGCTATTTAGTTGTCTGATATTTCCATGTTAGAAGACTTTTTTGTTTTTTGGTGTGTGATTATTCTGAGGATATGGTTTACAGACATATCTGAGAAGCTAAGTTAGATTAAAATAAATTGCCTTTGGATATTTGTTCTTAAATCATTCATGCACCTTTTCTGTGTTTTCTGTCTTTCAAGGAGGCATTTTTCAGGCCCTCAGGTTTTCAGGCTACAAAAGCTGCCTTATGAAATTTTGTGGTTTTTTAAGGCCTTCCTCATCTAAACTAAGACCAAAAAGCTTTAAAGCACCTTCTGAACTATGAGAGCCTTATCAGATATTTCACTGATCAGGTATCTTAGATTTCCATTTTTCAGATAAGGAGGGCCAAGAAGTAACATAACAATGTTACTGTGAACTTGTGTTCTCTTCTCCCCATCATGGACTGACAAGTGATTTACATACTCTCCTGTGAGAATTTAAGGAAGAGTAGTTC